CCTTGAATCAGGAGGTGCCTAGAACTTTCAAAACACAGATGCATCCTATCTTTGCCTCAGTGTCATGTCAGATTAAAACAGGCACCACTGTTGAAAACACTAAAGATCCTGATCTGGGAAGAATGGAGAATCTGGGCTACATAATACAATGGATGAATGAAGAAAAGAGAAGGGAACCTTGTGAGGATGATTTCCCAAAGTGATAAACAAGGAAGATTAAGTGTTTTAAAATTAAGAAAGGAGAGACTGCGGGTCTATAGCCCTGAATTATTATAGCCAAATTTCTGTTTAAAATTATTCATATATAGTATCATTGTGTACAAACAGGATAATTTAATAGTTCATAAATCTGCTGTCATATTTTTGAGGGGTGGTTTTAAAGCACAATAATACTTACTAAATGCATCCACTGCCTTCGTTGCTTTGCTTTGGTCAGACCTGGGTAAATATTTTTTTTTAAGGTGAGAAAGATGAACCAGAGATAACCATTGCTCTACCATTATTTTGGAAAAATAGACTAATTAATCTTTTAGTTTTCTATACATTTTCCTGCCCATAATTAGCAATTCCAACACATTAATAGGTTTAATAAAACATTTTTGGGAAATAAGCCACTAGTCGTAAAAGATATTTGCCTTTAGTGTGGGTATATGTCATTTGCAGAGTATGCTCCTTTACAGCACTATGGCTTTGGGCTTTGTATCAGGAGAGCCCTGCATGGATACAAAATTTATATCCATATCTGCAAAAATGAGCTGCAGATATCCACATCCACATCTGTGGCTACAGATATCTATGGATGTAAAGTGAATGTTCACAAATTTGCAGGATTCTAGATACAAAATGTGTATCTATGTCTGCAAAAATGAGCCATGGATATCTACAGATAGAAAGTGAATATCCATGGATTGACAGGGCTCTACATATCAGATCTGTTTCTATTACATGTGCTCTTGTTTTTCTAATCATCCTACAGCTATGCTAATAAAAAAACTGTATCTGTAAATACTCTTTCAGTGAGATTTTAATGCTTATGCTATGCACTTCTAATGTATGCGTCAGCATGGTACCTAGACCATTTATGAGAGATCTGCAGCTAAATAGTAATAGCATTAAGGAGCTCTACAGATTATTAAATGTGTCCAAACAACCCTTGCCTACCCCCATGACCTGATATCCTGATATTTTTTTAAAACTGTTGGCCAGCTAATCAGCCTACATTGCTATTGATACAACATACCTTATTGAGCAGATGCTTCTGAAAATCCTGACCCATACACAAAGCATCTGCCAAAGGGCCAAAGTACAGGTTGGACCTCCCTGGTCCAGCACCCTTGGGACCGGAACCATACCGGACCAGGGAGTTTGTCAGACCAGGAGAGGTCAATGCTTCCCTGCTGGCTGCCCTGATGCCAGCTTGTCTCCCTGTGGCTCCCAAGGCTGGGGCTCCTTGCCCTGCTGCTGTCCTGCTAAACATGGCCCAGCTGAGGCTCTCTGCCCTGCTGCCCTCCCACTGCACTAGGAGTTCCCAGGATTCCCGAGCCAGTGCTGCCTAGCTGTCACTAGCCTCACTGCCTTTGGAGGTTCCTGGGGGGGGGAGGTCCTGGCTGGGACTACCCAGGCACCGCCAACCCCACTATCTCTGGGGTTCCTCCCGACCCTGGGCCACCCAGCCACTGGCGGCCCCGCTGCTGTGGCCTGGCCCTGTTGTTGCTGAGGGTTTCCTGGGGTTCTCTGGATGGGGCCACCAAGCAAGCTGTGCTGACACTGGGAGTTCCCCTGCTGGGACCAGCACTCCCTGGCTGCCGCCTAGCCCTGCTACCCGGGTTCCCCAGCCAGAGCTCCCGGGCCAATGCCTGGCCCCGCTGCTACTGGGAGTTTCCAGGTCAGGACTTCCTGGCCAGCCCAGCCTTGCCGCAGGGGGGATTCTAGGGTTCTCTGGCAACCAACAGCCCTGCTACCAGGGACTCTCTGGCCTCCTGACCCCACTGACACTGGGGGTTCCCCGGCCAGGGAAGAGGCTCCCCAATGCCACCTGGCCCCACTGACGCCAGGGTTACGCAACCCAGCTACTGCTGGGTCAGCTGGGATTCCACAGACCCTAAGTTCTTCAGGCTGGCTCCTACTCCTGGGGCTCTTTGGTCCAGAAAAATTTATGGCCTTGCCGGACCACGGACATTGCCAAACCAAAGAGTTCCAGATTTGGGAGGTTCAACCTGTAATAAGAATTCTAAGCCCTATCGCTACCAGCAAACCAAAAATTACAAACCACTTAGCTTCTAATAACTAATAAAGGAAATGGAAGAATTGTTAAAAGTAAAGGATGTGGATAAAAGGGCTTAGAAACCTAAAATGCTATTATGCCTACAAAGGCATCTGACTGGCAGATACAAATTCTGGTAAAAGCAAATCAAGCTTTATATTATTCTCTGAGAGGCTCTGAAAATTCTCTCTGTGCTGTTCAAATAATTATAATAAAGACACAAACTGACAACGTGCTTTTAAAAGGGAAGTAAATAGTTTCACGACAGTCAGACCCCAGATCTTGTTTTTTCTTCATAATTTCTCCTCTGCTCTGCTCCTATCCCTAACCATGGAAGTGATATGGAGACCAACAGTTTCTGTTCAGAGATGAGGACAAGGAAAAACATGAAAGTACACATGCTTAATAGTGAGAGGAGAGAGATAAATGGTGTCTTTTCAAAAATCCTACACACCAATGGTAAAACATTTGTTATGCCCTGCCTAGCCCATGCTCCAGTGTATTGAGTATGAGAACAAGTAAGGATTGTATCAACTAATTCATGGCTACAGGGACTCTCCTATATTTTATCCTAATTATACATGCTTTTGGTTCAGAGAAAGAAGTGAATGAGGAGTTTTCCATTGTGCACTATGTATACACATGCTTGGCAGGATGGTACTGTGTTGTTGCCATAAGCACTTACAAGTTGTTTATGATGTTTTCATCAGTGGAGGAGACTTCTTCCTTCAGTGTGTTTGACTCCTCTGGTTTCCTAATCAGAAAAAAAAGAAATGTGCCCACGAGACTGATGACAGTTAGAGCAATGAAGACAGTCCTGCGATCGCTCTCTGTGGAAAATCGAAAAGGTGTTACACATAAGTCTGCATAAAACAATTCAAGACTAGTAAACTACCTTCACAAATACTGGTGTAGATAGTGATGATGATTCCAAGTTAAAGAAAGGCACAGTTTATAAAGAGGTGTATATAATACATATTAACCTTCATTGGTGTCTGACTCACCACTTGTGGGGCAGTGTCCCACATGTCTGGCAAGTACCTTTGTCATTGCTGATAGGCCAATTGAATACTGGCTGGTCAAAGAATATCATCACCACTTTTTGCTGTGGCTAAGTGGGAGTTAATAAAAGGAAAGAGGAAGTGCAGAGGCTCTCCAATAACAGTATCCAGTATTACTTGCAGGTCAGAAGCTACATCATATCCCCCACACTTTTTAGAAATCATGGCCTTCCTCTCCAGCCACAGGAACTAATGTCACATCATGTGCAACCATAAGTTGCTGGACATGTAAATTTCAAAAGCATTAGGCTCATGAAATCACAGAATTTGGCAAAAGATAACAATGAATATGTGGAGACTAGGCACCTGATGTCCCATGCACCAATTCTTCTACATGAATCAACTTGTCTGGCACAATAAATTCTTTGTGCAAAGGCTTCCCCAAACACAGGTGTGAGCAATAACACAGCAGCAGTTCACCAGGGCTAGCCCCTGATGGACGGCTGCTGCTATACCTGCACAAACACAGGTACTGGCAATCACAGCTCCCATGGACCGTGGACACTGCTTCCTACATTTCCCGTTGCCTGGGAACATTGATATGTGGCCAACAGAAGCTGCAATCACCTGTACCTGCAACTGTGCAGGTAAATATAGTAGTGGGGGCCCACCAGGCACTAACTCTGGAAGACCAAATCTGGCCCATGAGCCAGTATTTGCCCACTCCTAAATTAGCAGCTAATCATGCCTTGTGCTGAGGCAAACTAATCTTTGGGCTTCCAGTTCTCAATCCTAAAGATACTGCCTATATATCTATTTTAGTGTGCATCTGTCTGTCTGTGAGTATGTTTGTTCAAGTGGGTTTGGCCCACGAAAGCTCATCACCTACTAAACCATCTTGTTAGTCTTTGAAGTGCTGCATAGTCCTGTCTTTTGTTTCAACCAGATCAGACTAACACGGCTACATCTCTATTACTATTCCTCCTAAACAGTAAGAGCCGGGGCCACCAAATTTGGTATGCACATTCTTCTTATGCTAACTTAAAACAAGGTCAGGGTTCGGTTGTGGCAGTCTCAGGAAAAGGACTGTTTTCCATAACATGCAAAGAGAGGGGGCTGCTGTTCAAAGGGAAGCAATATCAGAGTGGCCATTGGGGGACAGCAAGCCTGCAGAGGAGAGCTATCTTGCAGTGTCCCCTGGGAGCAGCCATCTC